CATTTGATATGCTCACGACTTTATCTATTTTTAATACATTTATAAAATGACTTGATGCTTAGAATTCTGAATCTTAGATTTCTATATATGACACGTAGAATTCCTAAGTTGCAACTAACTTTAAATTTCCAAGAACCTCCTCACACTCAATTGCATTCAATCCACCACTTCATGAGGATCATCGAGTATATGGAATAGTTGGTTGGTGAAGATATACACACATAGTGTCAAATGAAATTGATGAATGCTTATTTGCTTGCTCCTTTCATGTTGAATGAAATTTTGACAAACATGATTTAAGAATTTTTTATAAATTTTGATATTTGTAGCTTGAAGTTGAGGAAGTTGCATTTCTTTGAATCTTCTTTTTAATCAAATTGCATGAATTATAGATGATAATGTCACAATATATTATACCAATATGTTATTTTAGGATAGTCATGTGAATGCCTTATCACACAACTAGAAAATAAATCATATGTTATTTTTTAATCATCCATATCTCCTCCTTAGTCACTATCAGTGAAACAATAAAGTCGAAAATTGTTAAAAAATTATATAAGAGTCCATTAGAGATGATGCCTCAAAAATAATGATGAATCATCCATATTATTTTCAGATATATCACATTTGTCTCGTCTATATGTCGTCTAACTAATCCAACTCCATAAAAAAATTATGATTTTTTGCATGTCAAGTGCATGCCACAAGCTTCAAACCTAGCTTTTATAAAGAGTAGGATTCACCATTTTTTCCTTCATATTTTGATAACTTTACTACATAGTCAACATGCATGGATACTAATGGATTATATATAATCATCCATCTTAAATTTTTGGAGAATTTTACTTGCATAAGCCTCTTGTGACACAAAAATGTCATCTTTCATTGTCTGTAAATATAAGTAGGAGAAGTCATGAGTCCCTTGTTTTCCTTTTCAAAACCTGAAGTCATGCTTGACTTGAACTTACTTATTAATACATAAGCATCGCTTCATATGAAAATAAGATAATTTGCATGCAAAACAACGAGGAATATATCTCAATTTGTATATTTTACACATAATATTAATGGCATTGAACATGACTATTTGTTTTGAAATAAAAATTAAAATTGCTAGGCCCTCGCATTAAGTCATAATGTGTCCTCTTTCAACATTAAGATTTTTATTGATCAAGCACATCCTCTACAATTAGGATGTTGCGCATAAACTTCTTTTTCAAGATAAACATTAAAGAAAAAAAGATTTTACTTCCATTTAATAATATCAATCTAATATTTTTTCATAAAAAAAAAATTGAGCAAATACCTCGATGATAGGTTATTAATTATAGTCTTTCAGACTATTTATTTAAATTGTCTATGACCAACGTCGATTCAAAAAAGCATCAAACAAAAGTTGTATAAGGTTTGAAACCATACTTGAGAAAAAATCAAAATTTATTTGAACTCCCATTTGTAGATAGCTTCGAATACAGCTCAAACTTGAGTCGAACGTCGAAGAAAGCTTGAATAATTAGGTTCGAACATAGTTTCAAAAGGATCGGGTTGGGTTCAAATAAGGCTTAAGCCATGCTCATATATTGTTTGAATAAGGTTCAAATACAATATACATAACATAATGTGGTCGACTAACTTATAATAGATCATGCTTCAAGGTTAATACAATAGTGAGAGTAAAAGACTAAATTTAATTAGTAACAACAAAGAGTCAACTAATATTCATAATACATGAAAATGACAAGCATTATATCATCGAAAAAACATTCAGTGGCATCAATTTAAAAATTATAATTGTTTCGAACAAAAAATTGTTATAAATGTGGTAAACACTTAGCCTTATAAGTAAATAAATTATAGCATTTAATTCCTCACAACTATAATATAATTGGACTGCATCTTTCTTCAACTTTGACGGCCTTATATTTTCTTTGGATGACCACTCTTAGGCATCACCAATGCGACTAACATGACAAATCTCTTTATTTCATTTGGAATCTCTCAAGTGTATTCTTTTTAGATGGGATATACACCTAATCATGCTTCATGAGCATATAATATTGAACATAAGGTATAATAATTGACAATTTGATCTTGAGTTACAGCCAACATATGTTCGCACAGGGGATCTATAACATCAAACTTTCTTTATGTATGTGCCTTCTCTATTAACATCAATATTAAGGTCATCATCTAGGACAAATAATTTAAATTGAGTAATGAGATAGATGATCAAGCTTTGATCTTTATTGAGGAGTTTCCCTAATGCTTCTTTGACTTTTTTTTTTTTGTTCATTGTAATATTGCACCTATTAAAGAGCTATTTTTGCATAGTGTTCCTCAAAAACTCTAATAGTATAATCACTAAATAGAAACATGCACACTTGGTGATATTGTTGAAGTTATTTGAAATACCGATTACCATAAAGTTATATCAACTTTCAGGAAAGAATAAACAAGTCCATCACTCAAAACCAACTTCATTCTTAAGATAAGATGCTATGGCCGAGTTCTTAGCACATATTTTGTCGAAGAACTTGAGAAACTCTACTCTTCTTTAAGCCTTGAAAGCCGAGTGATACTCCTCATGACAACTATTATTTTTAAACTTTATCGTGATATTTATTGCTACATGATGAGTGCAAGCTTCATGATTTATCTTTTAAAAAATAGTTGATAAAATATTGGCAATATTGTTGTGTTTATCAGAAATAAACACCAAAATTTATAGTGCCTACGACTCTCTTAGCTTAGTCATAAAATACAACCATGACATTATTTTTTGAGTCCACAACAATAAATGCCTCATGATAACTATGAGTATTGACATCTTGCACCACTATTATAAGTGAAATACCTCAATGTGGTGTATTCCAGAATAAACATTTAAGACTGAGTGACATGCACTATTTAATCTTTGAATGTAAACACTCAAAGAAAAAATATACATACTTGAAACATCCTTCACTATATTGTTAATGATCAACAATTGTCCTTGGGCTTTGCTATGTAGCATAATAAAAAAAAATTGATAATTTTTAAAATTGTGTTTTGAAGGAGCCTAAAATATAGGTGACAGCTTGCTCACGATGCTGTCAAGCCTCCTCATAGGATAAATTAATATCGCAATCGCTATTGACACATGATATGATCACCTTTGTCGTCATATTAAGATTGAACATTATAAGTTTATCTTTGATTATATATCTAATGAGCCACAATTGAATTTGTCGGTGGTCGATTTTACATATAGGAGACAGCTTGCTCACGATGCTGCCAAGCCTCCTCATAGGATAAATTAATATCGCAATCTCTATTGACACATGATATGATCATCTTTGTCGTCATATTCAGATTGAACATTATAAGTTTATCTTTGATTATATATCTAATGAGCCACAGTTGAGTTTGTCGGTGGTCGATTTTACATCCAAGATTATGGTCAATTTAAAGCTCATTATCTCAAACTTACCAGAATTAGCCAACTTTTCAACTTGCAATCTCTATGACCATATATCCAAAGAGAAATGAGTGTCCCATGCTTATGTACCTAATTTTTCATCTTAAATTGAAAGTTTTGTACACACACACACACACACACACACACACACACTTCAACTCTTTACAACAACAACAACATCAAGCCTTTATCCCACTACGTGGGGTCGGCTACATGAATCCTTTTTCTCCATTGTGTCCTATTAAAGGTCAAATTCTCACTTAAATCTAATAAAGAAAGGTCATTACTAAGATTTTCTAACCAAGTCTTTTTAGGTCTACCCCTACCTTTCTTAACAAGAACTCTCCATAGCACTTCTCTTGGAACTTTATCATATGCTTTTTTCTAAATCAATAAATATCATATGTAGATCCTTCTTATTTTCTCTATATTTACCCATCAAATCTCTTAATAAATGTATGGCTTCTATAGTCGACCTACCCGGCATGAATCCAAATTGATGCTACTAGTGAGAGTTATCAAAAAAATTATGCAACATGCAATTCAATAGGGGATAAACTCCACCATGATGCTAGTGAGAGTTATCTATGTGTTCTCCTTTACTTGAATTGTTGATTTTAACCCTATGAGATATCAAGAAATAAAGTATTTTATTTGTTTGCAAGTTTTTAGTTAATCAAAAACTTAGGATGACATTTTTAATAGATAATTTACTATTAAAAAATCAATGGAAACACTATCACTCGCACCCTGTGAATACATTGTTTCTCCTATTTATGCATGTGAAACATTCATACAATCACAAACACCAACAATAGACGGTGAACTTGTTGATCTTTCATGAACATAATTTGCATACATAGTCATAGTTAAAATCTTCCAAGGAGTACTAGTCAAACATTTGGAAGCTCAATGTTGAATGGATAAGAATATCTCATCCATGAAAAACTCAAGATCATAATTCGTAAGTAGCCCATTAGGAGAAATTGATTATGCTTCACTAAGGAAGGCTTTGTTTGGACAACTTTCTTACCGATCTCTAAAGCAGCTTTTTAGTATAAAAATTTGTAGTTAAAAAAAAATTATACTAAAAAGCTAGTTTAGAAAACAAGAATAAAGTTGTCTCAAACGAAGCCTAAAATGATATATCACGAATAATTTTAATTTAAACTGTTTCTAATCAACCTCCGCACTTTGTATATAAAATTAATGTAATCTTTAAAGGAAACACTTTTCCATATCATCAATTATTTGCTCTATTTATCTGCCAAATGTCCAACCAACTTGTATGTCTTCTTTTCATTTATCTCTATACTAGATAAGAATGTCTTATATTTGATTAAACTATTGAAAATACTTGGTCAGTATATAGCTTCACCATTTTTCAAGCTTGTTTTCCCCACAAGAAATAAGCTGGAACAAGCTTATTAAATTGTTGCCCATACTATCTTCTTGAGTGCTATATAATACATCAACCCTTGAATCCATAATGTAGATGAAAAAAACAAAATTGAGATTAATAAATATGCTATGATGATCATAATATGTATGTAACCATAATTTTTTTTTGGATGTTTTGTACAAAAAAAATCAACATAATGTTTGCATCTAGATGTTTCCTTCATAATAAAGAACACACAATCCATTTACAAAATGCTGGTAGAAACAAGTTAAATGAATGAAATAAAGCATGAATGCAAAATGTTATGAAGATTGTCTCAACCGAACGAACAGCACCTGAAGCCTGAAATTCCTGCAGCTTCATTGTCATTATCTTCTTTTAGTATGACAGCTCTTCCACTTCCAAGTGAACTCCCATCTTTAGTAATCATCTCTTGGGAGTGAAACATCTTTCTACTTAATATGTCATATATTTCTTTGACGATGGTTTGGAAAGCAGCAGTGACATTGGAGTTGTCGAGGGCAGAGGTTTCCATGAAGAAGAGGCCGTGTGCTTCGGCGAGAGCCTTGCCATCTTCAGTGCTCACTTCCCTTGCATCTTTCAGATCAGTCTTGTTACCCACCAGGATGGTCACAACGTTCATGTCAGAGTAAGCTGAGTGGTTATTAGGTTAGGGTAGTTAGCATTTTCTAAACAAATAAATAAAAGCTCATGCTGTTAAGGGTTCATTTTGAGACGGCCATGACTGTCAGCAAAATTAGTTGTGATTTTGTGAAAAAAAATAGAATTTTTTATTTGGTTTGTTTCGCTTTCTTTGTGGATGGGTGATGCTGTAATTGAAAAAAATGGTTCTTACTGTGCAGTTCGTTAAGCCATCTGCCGATGCTATCAAAAGTCTGGCTCCTGCTTATGTCATAAACCACCAGAGCTCCAACAGCACCACGGTAATATGCTGATGTCACTGCTTTGAAACGTTCCTGACCAGCCGTATCCCAAATCTGAGCTTTCACCTGCTTCCCATCAATTTGCATCTTCTGAGTTTGGAACTCAACGCCTATTGTAGACTTGGAGTTTGTGTAGAACTCATCCCGAGCAAATCTTGCAAGCAAATTTGACTTGCCAACAGCAGAATCACCAATTAGAACTATCTTAAAAAGATACCCATGGCTCTGCTCGTCTTCTTCCGAATAGAACGCCATCCTTTAATGCCCTCCTTGATCCTTCTTCGTTGAAAATTACATATATTGACGCTAAATTTAAAAAAAAAAAGTTAATAAAGCATGCCTCAATTTGTTAGGAGTATTGCACAAAATCAAAAGTACCTAACAAAGACTATTCTGTAGAGGAAATTGATAGAAAGCCTAAAAGTTCAACCACCTGTTCAAGCGTCAGAGTCATGCTAGAACTGGGATGATGTTGAGTTGAATTCGAGAAAGTTGGCCTAAACTTGAAATCGAATTTTCAATTTTGATTAGAGCCAACAATGTTCTATATTGAGTAAAATTAACTAATTTATTAAATAAATTTTTATCACTAACTGAGATTATTATTAATATAATAGGATATACATTATGTCAAGTCAATTTTTAGTGGAATCAAACATTTTTCAAGAGAGCCATCTTCGAGTTGGAGTCACCAATTTCAATTTTGATTCAATTTAAATTTGAACGATTGTCGGCCTAGTTTTGAATTTCAGACATAATAACCAACCATAGCTAGAACTTCAAAAACTTAACTAAGCATCATACAAATTCCAAAAAACATGGAAATTGGAAAGCAAAACTGTTAGACCGGTCCACACGGGACCAGCTCAGGGGGAAAACAGGCGGAAGAATCAGCATCTTGCATATGCCGATCGGACAGCAGAATCCAAGGAAGCTTTTTGGGAAAGATTTTTTAGATTTGGGAGGGAAATTTAAATATAGAGATTGTTCAGAGATTTCATTTTGAATTATATGCATTAAATAGTTTTTTTTTCCTAGGGTTAGGACATCTTGAATTTGGCTAAAATTTGAGATCTCTTAGGATTTTAGGCTCTAGCGGCATCTAGAGATTTGGGAGAGAAAGATCCTCCTCTCGAATAGCAGATCAATTGTATATATTTTCTTCCATTAGTTTGTGTTCTTGTAATAAAATTCCTATTTTTATCTGATTTTCCATTAGATTTGTGGAGATTTCTCTCTGTTTTTGTCAGGATCGTAGGTTTCACTTGAGATTTTCAAGTGTTTCCTTTCAAATTGGTATTAGAGAAATTTCCTGGGCTGATAGAGTTGACGAAAGAGATCTGAGAGTAAGGAAACTGAATATGCCTATTTTTGAGGGAGAAGATGCACATGGATGAATCTACAGGGTGGAAAGGTACTTTACTTTCAACAGGTTGATGAAGGAGGAGAGACTGACAGCAAATGACCTATGTTTAGAAGGGAAGACTTTGACTTGATACCAGTGGAGAGACATGCGACAACCCATACGGAGTTGGGGGAGTTCAAAGATTGTTTGGCAAAATATTTTTGAACTGGTAGGAGATGAGACTTCTACGAGCAATTCTTCGCCTTGACATATGATGGTTCAATGATGAAATATCGGGAGAAATCTTATGAAGGGACTGACACTAGAGATCCGCGCAGTAGTTAGAGTGATGAGGCCTTATAACTTGGGAGAGGCCATGGAGCTAGTTTAGTCGGTGGATGATCAGAGACACCTGGAGAGGGATGGAAGGCAACAGCTCAGGAGACTCGTACAGGATGACCACCACCTTATTGGCATCCAAGGAGCCAACACTAGATATTCTTAGAGGGCTTTAAAGGAAAAGACTGCAGGAGAAAAAAACTTGGGGGCAACATCAAGAAGCTCACAGAAATGGAATTACATGAAAAGAGGGTGAACGGATCTGTTTCAGATGTGACGCGAAGTATACTCCAGGGCACAGGTGTAAGGAACGAACTCTTCAGATTCTTACCATTTGTGATGACGAGGAAATGGAGGAAGGTGTTGTATTTCCATCTTGTGGATAAGGTGGATCTTTGGGAGGGGATTATTGTTAAACCGGTCCAGCCAATCTACACAGGTTCGGCTCAGGCAAAAAACAGGCGGAAGAATCTACCTCTTGCATATGCCGATCAGACTGCAAAATCCAAGGGAGCTTTCTGGGACAGATTTTTTAGGGATTTAGGAGGGAATTTTGAATGTAGGGACTGTTTGGAGATTTCCTTTCGAATTGTATGCATTAAATAGTTTGATTTCCTAGGGTTAGGGCATCTTGAATTTGGCTGAAATTTGAGATTTCTTAGGTTTTTGGGCTCTAGCGGCGTCTAGAGATTTTGGAGAGAAAGATCCACCTCTCGAATAGAAGATCATTTGAATCTTGCTATTTTCTTCCATTAGTTTGTGTTCTTGCAAGAAAATTCTAGTTTTTATCTGATTTTCCATTGGATTTGTGGAGATTCTCGTTGTTTTTGTTAAGATCGTAGGTTTCACTTGATATCTTCAAGTGTTTCCTATCAAATCCATATCCCTAGAATGCCTTAATGATATTCTCAATATAGAATGTAAGCATGAGCACAACCACAAGCAAATTATTTGAGAATATATGTTGCATGTCCATATATACCCATATAGGTAGCTTGCAGGTACCAAATAATAGGTTTAACCTCGAAGAGCTTGGTCAACAAGCACACTAGCCCAAAACGAGTCTCATCTCGAGGATCATTTATTGAAATTAGGTAAGGAACAAACATGTATTCGCCCCAATGAAACTTGCATTATAGGAGCTCGCCCCTAGAGAATTCGATCAAGGTTGCACATATTCCGAGCAAATTCAATAAAAGAACTCACTTCAGTAACCCTTCACTCGAAAAGACAAATGTCTTATGAGGATTTAACTCTTTCAACGGTTCTCTCAGTCAAAGATATTTGTCTTACATGAATATTCTCGTCCAAGTTACAAGAGGTATGCACCTACAGAGCCCACTACCTCGGCTTCATCAACTATGTTCATCACCAGCTCATAGCCACATGCCTAAAAGACCCTTCACTCAAAACAAAAGACTCGCCACTCACCCGGGGGAGTCCACTTTAGGATTCACCCAAGGCATTTTCCCTGAGAACTTGCCTAGCGTACTCGCTAGCGACATCTTGAGAAACATCAAAGGAAGATGGCTACATGTGCACTCCCATCCTAGTTATCTATTTCAGTTTGTAGTTGTTAAATCATGTAAAATTTCTTTATTTTTTTAAGTGTATCATTTTTGTAATCCTCTTGATCCTATAAATAGGAGGTTAAGAGGTATATGTTTGACTTCAAGCCATTTTTATTATTCAAAGAGATTATTTATTTTCTCATTTACTCTCTATACTGATTTCATTTTCCCGCTCTCTTGCTCTAGCTACCCAAACTTGTTAGTAGGGTCAAGCGTCACCAATAGATAAATTTAGAAATAACACATACACACATAGTTTCACAGGAATCATCCATCTCAGTTGCAAAATACGAAATTTGAGGTATGTCAAAGCCTATCAAGATTAAATTCCACAAGTTCCTATATTTGCATGATCAACAGGCATAAAGCTATGAGGACACCTAAAAGGACTTCAATTCTTACTCCTCAAGAATTCCATCCAATATAAGAAACAAAAGGTTTAATCAGTAAAACCTCTTTTAATCATTTAATTGCAACCTTAACAGAAGTACAAACATCATTTCTTATGTCCTTAATTAGTACATCTCCAAAAGGTTTAAACAATAAAACTTCAATTTAATTGCCCTATCTCTTAAAAAACCTCAATAATGAATCTCAAGATTTTATTTTTTTAAGGCTAGTTCTGATACCCATTTTTTTAGGAGGTGAGATTACAAGTTGGACCTAATACACTAGTCGCTGGACACTTATTCAACTCAAATGCTTCAGTTGAATGGTACGAGCAGGGCAAACCACTAGTATATCTATGCAAACAAATTAACACATTTTCAATAATTTGATGAGAAATTAAAGCCATTATTCTCGCATGCTTTAGCATGAATACCACATAGGTGAAAGCTCACCACATTATCATGATTCCATCTCAAGTCAAAAAACTTCCAAGAAAATAAGCTGAGTGCTATATTCCAAAAAGGGAAAAACATCAAAGAGTTCGTTTAGTCATGTCTTCCACAATGAGTTGTTGAGAGTCACTTAATTGCTCCTTTATGGATAGCAAAACCATGGGAGCTATGTATCAGTCTCTTCAACATAACTAAATCTTGACTATGTTTACTACCCTTATTAGGCCCAATGCAATAATTATGCCTTCAAAAAAAGTGGTCAAATTTATTTCAACTCAAAAAATTTAAGTTGATACTGAAAGTCAATCACTAATATACCTAAACCACAATAGTTTTTTAATTATAAAATATGGGGCTAAATCAAAAGCTCCCACATGCCATAATAATTTCTTACTTAGGAGTGTTTCACATAAGAACATTGATAAATAAAAACTCTCTTTGATATTTTCATATATTATTTGCATAATGCACCATAATAATTAGAGGGTCCATAATAACTATTTGCCTCATTCTCTACTCTATTAACGACAATCTAAAAAATGCATGCACATTGAAGAATGGGTTCCCACCCTTATGCTCAAAAGGTGCACACACACATGTGCTTCGTATCTAAATCATGAAGCATCACTATTGAATCTTAGTGTCTTAAGACACTTATCACATTCCTATAGATGTGAATTTGAACATGTAGCAAGTTCTAATCATAAAGTACAAGTTAAAATAAGAAGCATATAAGAACATTATTAATAAAAAAGGTATACCCAATGCACAATTCCTGTAAATGTGGGGTTTGGGAATGTGTAACAACTCGATCAATATCCTTATTAAATTCATCAATATGTCTACATGTAAAATCTAATTCAGACAGTTTGACCACCATATATGCTTAGATTTGGAACATGCTCCTAGAGAGATTGGTCTAGCATTAAATTGCATATCAACTCGACCTTGAGGAATATTAACATATTTCACTTATTTTGTTGGTCAGCTAGGAGACCGCCCAACCATCCATGGATGCACCACCTAGATCTTATCATCCATCGCATTCGCATACTAATCAGATCATCCAAAAATTGTTGACATGATTGGATATTGTTGACACTATGAATATTTAATCATTTCAATCTAATTTATTCCTTGGATTTTAGAAGATCTAGCTTTTCATTGTGGTCTCACAGAAATCGGAGTCATTTCACTAGCCACTCTTGAGATGACACATGGCAACTTTATGTAGCAACATCTCTATCATTAATCTCCATTGCTCTCATTAATCATAATTACCCAACAATCAGACGAGCGTCTAATGCTCACCACCTATCAATTGATCAACCACTATGCTTATCTACTCTAAGGTTGACTGCCCATGACTCTTGTTTCATTAGTCAGCACAAAACTACCTTAACTCAAAACAAGAGAACCACACAAGCTTAAAACTTCAAAGGGATATTTCATCATCCTTCTCTCATTACAGCAGTTTTCTACATATCATTAAGAAGTGTAACGGATATGTTTATAAGAATATCTCCTTTGTCTGCCACAATGATCAAGAATCTATCAGCCATGGTTATTTTCTTCATGCTAGAACAAGTGGTATATAAAATAAAATTATGAGAGGAGTTGGTTAAATGATCTATAACTCCTGAATCAATAAACCACAAGTTAGAAATTAGCATCTCTTAGATTTTAAAGGCATAAACAGAGCAGGTAATACTTGAGAATGCTACAGTATAAGTATCAAATGTAGATATTTTTTTAGATGCTCATAGCAAACCTTGTTGTCTTTTTTCCCCTTGTAAATGGCTCAATTTTTTTATTACCATCAAGAACCTATGAACAATTCGTGCCCACTTTAGGTTTTTTTCCCATTAAATCGATATATTAAAACAGCTTATATCATTAGAACAACTTGCATTCTCCGTCGTCGCTATGATTTCCAGAAGCTTCATCAGTCATAAACTCTTACGCTCCTGTCTCACCCATCCCGTGGCATTCACCTCGGTGATTTTGGTCATAAATCTTATACCAAATAAATATTTTAATACTCAAACAAATAGTCGAACTATTTGCTACAATTTAATTGAATTAAACGGTTGTCATGCCGAATCATTTTCAAGATTTAGCCCCTCAGGCTTTTTCAAATTCAGATGATAAATTTATTAAACCCTGCTTGAATTAAATAGCATTTGTATCCAAACAGCCGTAAAAAGTTAATTACATCATCTTTTCTGATAGAGACAAATCAACTACTTCTCCCGGTGGAAACGACTAAATTGTTGAACATCGGTGTCGAAATATTGGTAATCGCAAAGATCAAATCAAAACCATCTCAAATATCATACAAATATTGAATCATTAAAGCTTGAAAAAATCATCCCACCCGTAAAACTTCAACTCGGGATCGAAAAAAGGAAGATAAAAAGAGAAGAGAAACAGGCTAATTACCCCATCTAAAAATGGCTGACAGAAATGCAAGAACGTCTCGTAATTGCAATCATTCTCCAATTCCTTTCCGTTCTGTCAAGATCTATAAGATACCGGTCGGCAAGGCGGAGAGAGACAGAGAAGCGGAGAAAAAGCGTGGGTTTGGTTAATTCTTAACCTACACAACTAACTGCAAATGCCACTTAATTACTATGTTAATTGAATTAGTGGGAACGCACGCGTATTTAATAATATTTAGATATTAAACGGCGGATTTACATACATATATTTATATATCTAATATTAAGATATTTATCTTAATTAATATATTATTTAAAGTATAAATTCCATCAAAATATAAATAGGCATATTTTATTTTAAATATGATGGAATGTTTGTGCACATATTCATCTTCTGTGTTGACATACACGTCTACATACACCCATCAACTGATGCCATTGTATGCCACTGATAATCAAATATTAGACATCGCTTGATGTCATCCACCTCTCAATGTCGATCGTTGAATGATACAATCAGACACCTCTTGATGATGGACATGAATGTTTATGCCATCAATATTGGTTAAATAGTGCGTGCTATTACAAACCTTCACCAATTTCATGTTGTCAACCTTTGCACAACTTCACATTGTTGGCGTTGATATTCAAATGTTGATGTATGATAATGGAGCTTGGGCGCCGTTAATGAAATATTGGTGATTAGAGGCACTTGTCGTCAATGTCGGTCTTTGGGAAAAGCTCTAAGAGTTATTCAAATTCCCAAGCTATCTCTAAGTTTAGGTTCAAGCTCCTCCATTCTATATAGAATTAGAGTCTATTTATAATTTTTCAGAGGGACACTTCGGTTATTTTGGCCAAGTTCAAAAGAATTTAATCGAATGACTATTATTAATTCCTTTGATCATAGACCGTCTGTTTCACATTTAAGTGTCATGATGACCTTATAATAGAGTGATCTTAGGCTTGTTGGATTTTTCTTGACATGAGACCCGATTTGACTTTTAAATATGTAATATTTAGTGATCATCTTATTCTTTAATTAATATCATGAAATTTATAACTATACATTACGTGCTTGATTTGGGCCCATTGATGTTAGATATGATCATGCTGTTGTTGATGGATTCATTTTATTGAGTTGTTATGTTCGTTTATAAGTTTGTTAAAATCGGAGTTCGAATTGCTCTAAAAATTTGTTTGGAAGTTTCCAATTCAAATATTGCATCGAGTTTAGTGTTTGATCAAACAAATTTTTTTATGATGTATCCTTTGCCTTTTATTTTGGGACTTCAATTTTATGAAAGGAAAAATGTATATTAAATCTTTGACAAATTTTATGACACAAAATTATAATTTTTTAAAAAAATTATAAGATAAGATCATTTTCTTGACATCACAGTGGCCTTCCCTTGAGTCTGTGAATTAAGTAATAAATTCTCTTATATCCTGAAGTTTACGTATTAATTAGAGCAAAAACTATTAAAAAACATATTTTGAACTCTCTAATTTGCTTGAAATTTAACATAGAGAATCTGTTGGGTTATATAAGTGCTAAAATTTAATTTAGAACGCTAATAAATAATTCAGGGTGATGTAACATCAAGACAAAGGTGAAGGTCAAAGTCACAAATCAAAGCTCTACATGAATACTTGGATCGTTTATCATGCACAACTCTTCGTATAAGATCATAAACATCAAGAGAGAATAAAAAAGAAGCATAATGTAAGGAATAATGAATGGGAGGAAATTTGGCAACACTATTAAGGCTTTGTTTGGAACATCTTTCTTATTGTTTTTTACAGTAATTTTCTACTACAAAAATTTTTAATAAAAAAAAATTGTAATAAAAAATTGCTTTAAGAACAATAATTCTACCATTTATTGCCTTACAATGTTATGTTTCTTTTATGAGGAAGAAGAATGATTTTTTTGTTCTTGGGTGAGAGAGAGAGAGAGAGAGAGAGGTTACACATGAAAAATCTTACCTTTATTTAATGTGGGCTACTAAAGGGGGCTCAATTACATCTTCCTAAACATACTATATATAGGAATTTGGACACTAGTGTGATGTGTCTCGCATAACATCGTAAGTAAAATCAGAATAATACATTATAATCTCCATCTTGGTCCGATTTTACTATTAAAGAACCACCCGTTTATAAGAACTCACACTATGTGCAATTCGACTAGCTCCATACACTAACTCCATTTGCAAACCCGCCAAACCGAGCCCAATCCCACTCATGAACGGCCTTTAATGTGCGTTCCAATCCACGGCTCCAGCTCGCGCTCCGACCCCCACGTGCCTGGCATCCATCATTGTTCCTCCCGTGATATGCATGCCCTTGCCTTGTGCATCGCTTGCTCCCCGCGCGGAACTGCCTTGCCTTGCTCTAGCACCGAGCATCATCCATCTCGTCAGTACGTCTTCCTCGGATACTTGTGCGGGCTCCAGCCTGCGACTTTGCACTATCCACTCGTCCAATTCTGAGTTAGGTGTTCGCTTATTGTGTAATCTACTCTGAGGCTTTTGATCCTGCTACCACGACTCCAATCCGTGTGAACACCCACTTCCCATCAACCACTCATCCAAGTCTGATCTTGAGGCTCCCACTTCAAAAGATCTAAACCAAGATTTAATCATAGGCAAATCTCGTCTTCTAACATGTCACGTGCCCGATCTTGACTCTCCAACCTGCTCCAGCGCACAAGATCTTGAACAGCACCTCCCGTGCCCGTGTCTAGCTTCTCCAACAACAACAACAAATAACCTACTGTTCTTCTTCCACTTCACGGGTCAGCTTTCAACTGTTGCCTTAAGAAGCAGCCCCCTCATCGGTCGTAAGAAACTGTTTCTTGGCTCCAGTTTTCCATATGCCACGTTGCGTCCGTTACCTCTGGTCTACTCCGCCTCACTCAATCGAAGTCATGCAAACCGTGAACACCGTCCGCTCCTCCTGCTTTATGTGTTTAAAACAAGATTTCAACTCAGAAAAAAAACTAAGGTATTTAAAAATATTTGGCATTGAGTCATCTTCATGTTGTTCTGAGAAAATGTGGACAGGAGCAGTGATTTTTTGGACTCCATTTCCATGGATTGTGTCTTTGTAGTTGCCTAAGCAATCTAGAATCAGTTTTAAATATTAAGAGAGAGATAGAGAGAGAGAGAGGCCCAGAGTCAAAGTTGATATGAAGATTGGAGTTTTCATCAATATTATTTAGATTTGCGGCTCAACTTGCTCGATTATATTTGAATAAAAAAAAATAGATTTGACTTTTTTTAAAAGTATTTTGAATTTTGAGAATGATTGTGGAGGTGATGTTGTGATCCAAATTGGGAAGAGGTCAACGAAAATTTCAAAAAGTCAACAGATATGAGATCAGATTCAACAATTCTCATAATAATAATTTAATAAATTAGGTAAAGGTTACGGGTTGTTGGATACATTTGAGCATTGAATGCAACATATAGAAAGACAAAAGTCACAAAATCAACTAAACTTATTAATTGTCTGAAGTATATTTTTAATGTCAATTAATTAATTATAATTATTAATAGTCCATTTGAGAGGGTTAAAATTTGTTATAAGGTAAAAGTATTCCCGCTTAAATCTATACTATTATTATAAAAGGGGCTTGAATTTCCACCCATAGCAAATCTTGGCCATTCATTTTATTTTTTTTTAAATTATCACGTCCCTTCATTGTATTATAAATCATTAATAATTTTAAAAAATAATACTTATGTAATTTAATGCCCCTTAAATACACCTAATCAAATTTGATTTTAATTCCTCTAAATGCTTGAGTTTTAATCCATTTCATTTAATTAATAACTGCAATGCCAAAGATTTTAATTGCATTTATTTTCATTTTATTTGTATATTTAATTTATTTTAAAACTTATTTAATTAAATGCATGATATTTTAAATTGTAATTGCATTGCATTTATTCTCATTTTATTTGTACATTTAAATTATTTTAAAACTAATTTAATTAAATACATGACATTTTAATTTTTAATTGCATTTAAATGAGAGCTAATTGTTGAAATGCCAAAGATTTTAATTGCATTTATCCTATATTCAAATATAAATAACTAATATATTTATTTGCATTATATTTTTAATTTATGTCAATCTGAGAAATTAAGAACATAATTCATTAATTAATATTCATTCTTTAATAAATGTTAAAATTTTATAATTTTAATAATTAATAATTTAAAAAAATTAATTAAAGTATAAATCTAAATTTATTTTATAAAATAGACCTCCTAAGTTACACTCGTATTTTATTAGTATTATAGTATAAAATGGATGGCCAATAGAATTTGAAATTAACATAATACTTCTATTATAAAAGCCACTTGAATTTTCTTTCAAATCAAATCTTGATCATCTATTTTATTTCTTCTAAAATTATCTTGTCCCTTCATTGTATTATAAATAATTAATAAATAAGTGTAACCCTTTATATTCTTAGTTATTATTATACATGAAATTGTGAAACTCTTCACATTAACTATCTGAAATTAAAATTGATAAAACTCACATTAATTGATTATGAGTAGTTAAAACTCATATCAAATATGACCATCCATCTAGCATTATTAAAAAAATGCTTCGTATTCCATTTTAGAAATTAAAATCTCGAGGAAACCCTTTGTATTCTCAATCATTATTATGCTTTAAATTGTGAAACTTCTCACATTCAAAATCTGAAATACGTTGTGGAACTCCTTCATAAAGTTGAAACCGGAGAAGGGATCATCGGAACTTGTCTGTAGCAGTGGAGAAAGAAAAAGCTTCCCTAGCGTGGTGATCAGAGTTTATATTTGGCATTAGAGATGAGTTAAGTAGTTAACAACTTCCATTGCTCTTCCATTTTTTCAGGTATGCATATGCGTTTAACTCATATGTTATGAAGTAATACAGCTTATGTTCATTATAAACAAACAATAGTAATTGTCTTTATTATTATACAAACGCTTCCAATAGAAAAGATAATTTCGTAACCAAATTCAGCATTTTTTATCTTAAAAAATCATGGAAAAGAAGAAAACAAATCTTATTTGAATGCAAAATTATATGCATGATGTTATATTATGTCAGAATTCTTCATCTTCCCTAAATCAATTA